CGATGCCAGTGATGCCAGTGGCGAGGAAGGTGAGCGGGTCCCCAGAGTTTCTAGTTCAAGGACAGGGCCACCAGTGAAGCTGCATGGTCCCTCTTGAAATGAATGGCAGCTTAACAGAATTTCCATGGGATCAGTTTGTCTGAATGTTCTAAGGGTGCTGTGCTGCAGGTCACAGGCCTGGGTGACTGAGTGACAGGACTGGTGGAGTGGGATGAGGGCAGCGGGCTGAGTGATTTGCACAGGAGGGATAAGTGCCTAGGCTAGCCTTCTGCTTTCTCTACAAATTGGCCTAACCTGAGGTGCAGTCTCCTTGTCAGGGAATAACATATGAAGACATACCACAGATGGTATGCTGGCTGTGATCCCAGACCATAGGCCAGAGTTCATAACCAGTCCTGCCTGGCTATATGGACTCCCACCTTAAAAAACAAAGGTTTTAATCCTAGCACTGCAAGGCAGAGGCAGGTGGATCTGAGTTCAAAGCCAGCCTGGTCTACAGAGCAAGTCCCAGGACAGCCAGGTCTGGCTACACAGAGAAACCCTGTAGCAACCTCCGCCCACCCCCTCCCCCCCCAAAAAAGAAACCAACCTAAAAAAGGGTTAGTTGGATGGCTTAGGGGTAGAGAACCCTTTACTGAAGTCCCACACAACACAATGATACAAGGTAGGGGTTGGTGGCATGGCTCAGGTGGAACCCCTGCATAGCCGTGAGCAGTGCTCTGGGCTCATCCAGACTGATTCCCCTCCTGTATCTTTTTTTTTTTTCATAGGCAGCAGAGCCTCTAAGGCTAAAAAAAAGGCCCCAATGACCAAAGGGGGCAGGAAGAAGAAAAAGAAGAAGGGCTCAGATGATGAGGCCTTTGAGGACAGTGATGATGGGGACTTTGAGGGCCAGGAGGTGGACTACATGTCAGATGGCTCCAGGTGAGGCAGTTCGAGGCAGTTCGAGGCAGGCCTGAGGCGGGCCTATCTATGGTCATCCATCTTCATGTTTGCCCTTCTCTACTTCACAGCAGCTCCCCGGATGAGACAGAGGGCAAACCCAAAGTGCCGCAGCAGGAGGATGGCCCCAAGGGTAGGTGTCAGTTAGGGACCAGCTGGAGATGGGGGTCCACTTGCAGCCTTCCTGCTCATACCTGTGTCCCTAGGTGTGGATGAGCAGAGTGAGAGCAGTGAAGAGAGTGAAGAGGAGAAGCCTCCTGAGGAAGACAAGGAGGAGGAGGAAGAGAAGAAGGTCCCCACTCCACAGGAGAAGAAACGCAGAAAAGGTGT